ATGGTCCATAAAGTACCTAATAAACTGTGGACACTACACAAATAATGAATGAATGCAGCTCTAATCAATTTGTGGTGTGAAATAGTTGTCAATCTAGTGAAACTCCTGCTTTATAGCCCTTTTTAAGCTTAATTTTATTATATTTATGCATTGGAGAATCTCAGAAAGTCCTAACAGGAAAAAAATGAGCAGGGAGTAGTTTTGGGTAAAGGAGGATATTTTAATTTGCATGCCATGCTCCTGTAGGAGTTTACAAGCTGAAAACTGCATTAAAACCAGAACTTTGCTCGGTATCGTGCAGCCACAGGAAAAATTACATCGAGCATATCTCCAGCCTACAAATGGTTTATTGTTAACATGGCTGTGAGTGTTCTGCCAAAATGAAATCCTGGCCTTTGCTTTGTTGTCACACTTGAGCAGAGGTAGAGCCAGAGGCACAGAGCACCCACAAACCCACAAAACATGTGCTGGATGTGAACTACACAGCTGTGGGACACCAAAACCGAGCCCTGACAGAGCTGAGATCACATCAATAACAGGGGAGAAAGGTGAGTGTGGTGAATTTGGAGTGGCTCCATGGTGACCTGAACCAGAACCATCACGTTGGAATAAATGCATGAAGGAAATAATTCAAATTGTGGAGCTGAACTCCAGCACAAGGACCCCTGAAGTTTGTTGACAATCAGGTGCTTACCTCAGGTCTCTACACCACCTAGCTGTAACTCAGGAACCAGAGAAAAAGCATCAAAATCAGGTGTTAGGGAGGGGTTTTTATGAAAATAAGGAATAAATCATTTTTATCCTGTGTGCCTCTTCACCACGGACATCACTGGAGACTGAAGGGGTTAGTTAAGGGTACATTGTCCTGTTCCTACTGCATTTTAGAAACTGATTTGACATTATAAATGTTAATTATATTAAATTATAATTATGGAGATGGAAAAGGCAAGCTCTCTGGGTGTTTGCAGGCATGTGCACGAAAGGCAGCACCAAACAAACAGGCTTTGTGGTGCTCAAATGCCTTTGTTTGCTCTTAATTTGGACAAACATCCAGCCCTTAGAGAAGAGCACATTGGGAATTTCATTTGTAACTCTCAATTAAATTGAATTGTGCAAAGCTTATTTCTATAAATGAGAAAATTAAAACCTTTTGGTTCAAGAAGTACACAGAACTAAGTAAAACTAATGATTTATTGTTCCCAAATTAAAGCCATAAGTGCACACACTACAATTGAACTGTAGTGGTTCTTTGTTCCAACACTTTTATGCTGCTGAAAGATGACAATTTATAATCTTTGAAGGAAGATTTGTCTTAGCTTTAGGTATTTATTGTATAATTAGCCCATCCATGAGCAAACCCACTGCGTGTTAATTCCAGTATTCCTCCTATGTGTATTTATCTAGGTCTTGCTCACATGGCAGGAACATCTATGCAAATTATTTGAGATTAATACAAATTGTTTGTTTTCTTTACTTGTCAGTAAATATCATGGAGAAGTTTCTAAATAGGGTTGGTTTTTTTTTTTCATACTTATTCATGGAACTGTGTGAATCAGGTCCTGGAATTCCAGAGAAATATCAGCTCTGCTATATTTCAGCCTTTGCCTTGGCTTGTGTTGACACTTGTGTCTCCACAGTCCCTTCTGTGCAGTTTTCCTGGCACTAACAATTATCACACAAATAATTTCATTTGCAATGTGGTTTTTTTCCAGATACAATCTTCTTTCAATATAATGGTAACATCAATCCTGTCAGTGCAGACAAGGGAGGCTGTCAACTTTGCCCTTGGAGGAGGACAGAGGGTAAAGGTGCCATTATTACCTTTGAACAGCTCCAAGATCCTTCTTGCCCCTTGCCAAATACTGATGGCAAAACTCTGATTTTTGCTATAGGTATCAGTCCAGTTTTTCAGAAGTATCCTTGAATGCTTATTTTTGGATTGATTTGCCTTAAGCAGACTGTTGAAACTCATGTCCTGTCATATTGCACAGACAGAAGTTGTATGCTTTAATTCTTACCTTAGATTTTTAATAAGCACTTATTTTTTTGTACCTTTTCACTTCGTGTTTGTGTATTTCTAGATGAAACAAACTCAGTTGCAGTCTGATATTTGATGTGTTTGTTCCAGATGTTTGTGTGAGAACAGAAAAAGTTAAAAGTTAGCATAGCTCAGACACAGTTGATTATTGATTGAATTGATTATTTTAGGAAGGTACAAACCACCTGCAATTGCAGTAAAAAATATCTCTGTGCAGCCAAGGCCTTTTTGCTCCTGCTCTGTGTCTGCTCCATTTGTGACTTTCCCCAATGAAAGAGAAATTGAAGGAGAACCAGTAAAAAACACTTGCTGAAAAGCTTTGCAAGAATTGGAATTTTATTATTTGTTATCCTGCATGGTTGGGAAATTCTTCAGAAATTTGAAATACTCTGCATTGCAGCATCAGAATAACCTCACTGATGGGTGAGAGTCTGTTGTCATTTCCAGTGTGAATTCAGATTTTCAAAGAATTAAGCTGGAAGATAAAAGATTACTCCTGAGCCCAGATTCCTGGAAATGTCCTCCCAGGGTTAAATTAATCTCCTCTTAGAACTTGATACCGATGTGAGAGGTGTGTGTGACCCAGAAATGGAGAAAAAGGGGGATTTGTGTTTTTACACCGTGCTTGTTCCTACAACTTCAAGGGCATCCTTACCTTGGAAAAATGTGCCCATATGTGCATGTGCAGCAAGCAGCACAGCAATGGCAGATCTCCAGCAAGGATCACGTGTCTGGTAAGGTCACTTCTCCCAGCACACTGCACATTCCCACTGGGAATGGTGGGAGTAGGACCAGTGGTGAGCTGGGATCCCCCATCCCAGCCAGCCCCTCAGAACTGCTTTTGTGGTAGGTGTGCCACTGAAATGCTGCTTTATTAAACAGCCAAATAAATGACTGAGGGCTGACCTCAGCTGAGGCTTTATCACTGCTGCCCTGCTGGTGAACTCTCAGGCAGAGCTTTTCCATGGAATTCAGCATTTCATCACTCCTGGCTGGAAAGAGTTAATGCTGCACTCGGAAGTTGCGCAGAAGCACAGGACCTGTGACTCCTCAGGGAAAGGTTTCCAGTGTAGCACCAAAACGAATCACTTGTTCAGCTTTTTAGTTGTTTTTTCAAGTTTCTTTCTCACTGTAAAGCCAACTTGAATCTCCAGTAAAATGTAGAAGTGTTCCCCAAGGGAGAAATACAGCGACCAAGCAGGGGGGATGCTGTTCCCTGGGCTGTGTTTTTGCAGCTTCCCTAATCTTGACAGCTCTGGTAGCTGCCTCTGGGATAGAAAGAACAAAAAAAATGCAGATCAGTCCATAAAGTTCCTGTTAGTTTGAAAGCAAAACCATCTGCTGGAGCCATGAAGTTTGTTAGGGAGTTCAATAACAGGAAAGCCTGCAGTTGATCAGCTGTGCTCTCCAAAACAGGCAGGAGGATTCAGAGCAGTGAGCCAGGAGATGTGGGGAGCATGGCAACAGAAAAATGGGTCAAAATAATGGTTTCTTTGGTTTCATGTATAAGCTTTGAGGAAGAGAAGTGGGTGCTGTGATTTCATATTCAGATTGTACTGTGGATCCTCAGGAAGGTGTGTGTGTTCTTTAACAGGAGTTTGTACTAGACAGACATTCCTCAGTTATGGAATTAAGTCTGTCATGGATGTAAGGAAGCAGATGGAGGTGGTTTCTGTATTGTCTGAAAACTGATGGAGACACAGAGCTGAAATCACACCTGGGGCTGTCGAGGCGTGGGTGTGCCCTGGCACAGACTGGGGATTGCAGGGAAAATGGCAGATCATGGCATCACAGGATGGTTTGGCTTGGGAGAGACCTTAAAGATCTTTTATTCCACCCCTGCCATGGGCAGGGACACCTCCCACTATCCCAGGTTGCTCCAAACCCTGTCCAGCCTGGCCTGGAACACTTCCAGGGATGGGACAGCCACATCTTCTCTGGGCACTCTGTGCCAGGGGCTCCCCACCCTCACAGGGAGAAATTTCTTCCAAATATATCCCATGGGAAAATCTCGGTGCTTAATTATAGGAGCACAGAATCATTAAGGTTGGAAAAGACTTCCAAAACCATCAAGTCCAACCCATGCCCACTAAACCATACCATGAGGTGCCATCTCTGCTCGTTGTTTGAACCCTTCCAGGTGACTCTGTCACCTCCCTGGGCAGCCTCTTCCATTGCTTGACCATTCTTTATCAATGAAGAAATTGTTCCTAATATCCAACCTAAGCATCCTTTGTAAGAATATGTCCTAATTTTTCTGGCATTCGGAATAATTCTGGAATAAGTTGGGCCCTGAGCTGAATTTGGGACGTTGCAGGTTTGAGAATATGGACACTCTGTGTTCCAGAGGTCTGAGAAATGACTCAGTAGCTTCAGGTACTGACACACACAACACAGGATGGAAATCCCTTTATTCCATAAAGTGTATGGATTTATGCAAAGCTATTTACTTTACAGAGGCGCCATTCTGTATTTATGGCTACCATTGTGTCTGCTTTGCCATTAAAACTCCAATTATTGGGGCTTTACTACATGGCTGTAAAAATTTGTTGTGGTTGGAAGCTTGACACATAAAAGTCAACCCTGCAATAATATAGTTTTTAAAAACTTTTAAAAACTTTGAGTGATTATAAAATGTGGGAACATAAAAATGCTTTGGTATTTTAAGAACTTCAGGTTAAAAGAGGAAGAGCCAGTGGGTTACCCTGGTGGCTGTATGGATATATCCAAGTCAAAAAGCAGGAATATTTTCATTCTTTTAATCAATGAAATATTTGATTAATATTTGATATCAATACTTGATCGTTGATATTTGAGTTCTTTCTGTGCTTCTAGAAAATCTGTTGTCACAGATTTAGGAAAACATACATTGTCGTGCCATTAACTTATTAAAAAAGCTTTTTTCTTTTAAATGAAGCATTTAACAATAAGTCTGATTTGTGTTTTGTGGGTTTTTTTCCAGTGGTGCCACCGGGGAGCCCTGGGCCCATCACCCGGCACGAGTCCTATGACAGCTTGGCCTCCGACCACAGCGGGCAGGAGGATGAGGAGTGGCTGTCACAGGTATGCTCTGGGGGGCTTCCAGGTCAGGAAAACAGCAGTGGGAGACACTGGAAGTAAAACTCACAACTTTCCTCCAAGTGGGAAATAAACTTCGAACAGCCAGGGTGTTGCTGTGTGTAAAACTGACTCCACTCCTGAGTGGGGGTATGGATCTGATGGTCCCAAACAGATAAAACCCCAACTTTCCTGACACAATCACATCCCTGGGAAGCTCAGGATGAAGTGGGAAGTTTCAGCTGGCAACAGCCAAGTGACCTGCCTCCCTTTTTTCTCCTGGCATGGTCCTTTTTGGACAGGGATGAAGGAGGCTGGCAGAATGATGGTGCCTTTTGTGTGCTGATATGGGACTCCCTGCATTTGACAATAAAAGTGGGGCAGTAGCTGGTTTACTTGCCTCCTTCCCTGGTTATCATTTCCTGCTGAGAATTCCTGTGACTTATGGCCAGATAGAAATACTGTATTGCTTTAGAATTATCATGCTTGGTGGAGGATTTTTATATGAGGTGAAATCTTTGTCTTGTTATCCAATCTTGCTTTGTCTCAGTCAATGAAGCTTCTTTGTAGGAACTCAGTAAATACTTGACCATTTGGCTCAAAACAGAACCTCAGTGTAAGAATGTAGGTCATGAATAATACACTGAGAATTAGTTCCTGATAGAAATGAAAGGTTAGAGTTAAATAAATAAATTAAATTTACAAATGCTCTGGATTTGCCAAAGCAATTACAAGGTACCTGATCCATGGAATTCACCCTGACAAATTAGGTGGGTTTCCTCTGGTTTAAGAACAATGTTGTTATGGGAGTGATGCATTAAATGTGTTGCTGGGGTGTATGGCATAAATATGAAATATTTATGGATGGGATTTGCTTCTCCCACTGGTGAATAAATCATACATAGCCTTTTCCTGAAATGAGAGGTTAGGTTTCCACATGGACCTGTCCAGGAGGAGCATTCACTGGGGAATCCAGTCATGTGAATTCATTTACCTGTCTGAGGTTTCAGATGTGGCTGCACATTGAGGTGTCTCATTTGTCTGTGCTGTGTCTGATTTCTCAGAGCACAAAGATGATGAAACTTCTCAATCATGGAGTCAACAGGAATTGTATCTGAGCTCATTGGGAGCAGATTTCACTTGTAGTTTTCCACCTCTCCAGGACTGTTTGGAAATATTTCCTTATTGTACTGTTGAAACCTTAGAAAAATCGAGATTATGCTAAACTTACATTATGTCTGTTTGTATATTACTAGTTCTTGGAAGATATAAGATGTCAACAGAACTTAGACTGCTCAAACTTCACCACATCCATCCCTCTAGAAGAGGAAATATATTTATAAAGGGGAAAAAAAAATCCCAAGTGATGTCACAGAACACAGATAATTCCGAGAATGCTCCTGGAATATTTAATTCCTGCTGAGAGCAGAAGTGATGAGAGCCCTTGGAGCGCGGCGACGCTGGCGCTCCCCGAGCAAGCCACTTCAGATTAAGCCTAAAGTGCAAGGATGTTTTTCAAAATTAAAGTGTTGTTATCAACAGTAACAGCAAGCAGTGAAAAAACACCGCCCTTCACTTCAACTTTTCAATTAGAACAGTGGGTAATGTGTGCTGTCAGTGGGAAGTAGATACAATATGTTTGTCCTGCACACAACAGGGGAGTGAATAGGAACATCTGGCCATAGCCTCAGTAAAATTGCAGAGGCATCTGTTTACCTCTCGGCTCTGTGACACTGATGGTTTCAAGCTTAAAATACACAGATTACTTTATCTGTGGCCTAATTTACGCTGCTACATAAAAGCTACTTGCCTCAGAAGCGACTGCAGCCAAGCTGAGTTAGGCTGAGCTAAATGCAAAGATGGAAATAGAGCTGCATAGGCTGTGGTTGTTGTCTGACATTAGCACAGAACTGGCATCATCCAGGGTTTCAAGCTGCTTCCTAGAGAAGGAGAATCTCTACTAGTATACATCTATACAAAAATCTGTTTTAATAAATTTCCTCACTAACTTAAATTTCTGCTGTGAAGCTGATTGTGTTTCAGCAGAAATTGATAGGAACTTCATATCTATTTTCTATTTTAAAAGTATGAGTTCGCCAGAGCTTAATATTTTAATTTTGTCTTTCCTTTTTCTGATCTTTAAAAATGCTTTTTGATTTTTAGTCTTGTATTGCATGATCTTTACAGCCTTAATGCTTCTATTCTCTTGATTATAGAAGTTGTATGCTTTGTTTACGCTTTTATTTACAGTTTTCCTGATCTCAAACATCCTACTTCTGTTGAATTGTCAGAATTTTGGTTCAGTGGATGTGTTTGTGTGGACCCTGTGTGTGGCACATCCATGGCTGTGTGCTGAGCATGACCTGGGCTCATCCCAGCACTCTTCCCATCGCTCTGGGTTATGGATCTTGTACTTCCCACAAGATGCTCCGTGCCAGCCTCTCCTCACACATGCCAACAGGAATTAGGAGCTGTGATTTGCAATCCAGCTCTCACTGTATCCATGGGAAGCAGTTTAAGCTGTGAACTTTCACAAATCTGGGAGGAGTTCATCCCTCACTTCCCTCACCCCGCTCGGGATGGGGGATGTCTGGGGGATGTGGGCTCTTGGTTCCTCTCTCTGCTCCATGCAGATTCAGGCAGAAATGTGTTCCCTGTTGGTTACAGCATTTGAGTTTTGGGGTGTATTCCACCATGGCAAGGGGAGGAAAGAACAGGATCAGGTGAAGTGGTGGCCAGAATGAAGTGTTGATCTTCAGAACAATTTAAGGACTGGAGTCCATTGTCCTGAGGATAGTGGCTCACGAGCTTTCCAGTCTCTGCAATGGGCTCTTGGCTTTGGCTAAAGCATCCATTCTCTGGCAAAGACATCCCCAATTTCCCCTTGTTAAACATTCCTCCAAACACTCTGGCTCAGAACACCCTTTTCACTGGAGAGCAGCAGGATTCCAGGAGCCCAGCGTACTGAAGGAACCATTCATTATATGAAGCTGCAGCTCTGTGTTAATCATTGCCCATATCCCCTTCCCACAGGTGGAAATCGTGACTCACACTGGGCCTCATCGACGTCTGTGGATGGGCCCTCAGTTCCAGTTCAAAACCATCCACCCCTCAGGCCAAACCACCGTCATCTCCTCCAGCTCCTCCGTGCTGCAGTCGCACGGGCCCAGCGACACCCCGCAGCCTCTCCTGGACTTTGACACAGATGATCTCGATCTCAACAGCCTCAGGTGAAAATAAAACCTATTTCCCAGCTGACTCACATTTGTTGTGTGCAGAATTTGCCTCCTGCCACGTGTGTAGGACGTGTCACGGTTTTTATCAGGCTTGTCCAGAGCTTGTGGCTCACCAATGACAAAAATCTGTCCAGGCCAAGCAACTCAGATTCCTTTTGCTGCCCCTCCTTGGGCACATGACAGGGAAAGGTAGCACAAAGTCTGCTGGCCTTGCTCAGTGTCCTCTTGCTTTCACACTTTCTGTATTGCTTAATAAATTTGTTCTCTCAGATATGAGTGGCTTCATGCCATGAATTTAGACAGTGGTCAGCGTGTTGGAACAGTAAGTGAACTCCTGAAATGCTTATTTCCTCCCTTGTTTTATTTTTTTCCCCACTCATTTTTTTCCTTCCTTGTTATTCTTTTCCATGTATTTAATTCAACTGGTTTTTGGAGATGAACTGATTTGGAATTGGGGGCAGGGGGTGAGCTTAGGGAAGGGAAGGAAGAGCAAAGGTAACTGGGTTTACATTTACTGGTGATTTGCAGAAGAGATTTATGCTCCAAGTGTTTGTGTCCTGCCCAGTAACTCTAGATTTAAAAAGTTTCCACGCTCCTGACTCTGCATGTGATTTGAAGTCCAAAGGTCTGTGGTAGGGACTTGGATTGTTTGGGACTGTGTCTGAAACTCTCAGAAGTAAAGCAAGAGAGAAGGATGATACGATTATTCCCATCAAAATGGGCAGATTGTCCTTGGACTGGAAATGCATGGGTTTGAAATGTGTGATTTTTCCTTGTGTGTAATTCCTGCCATGAGTAAGGATATGGCTGCCAAATTTATTTCTTAATATATATATATATATTCATGTGCAGAAAGAAAGCAGAAATAAAAAGAAATAATACAGATCTATGTTACAGAAGGAATCAGCAATTACAAATGGATCTTTAAAATGTTGCTGTTGAGGAGAGCAGTGGAGGCGTTTTAGCCAGGTTTGAGTAGGGTGAGCTTTTTCCTTTGAGGCTTCCTGGGAGCTCCCATCTGAGCCATCCTTTGGGAATACCCACTTTGTCCCAGTCTCTGGGTGCAATCTCAGCTGCACCAAGAGAGGGAAAACAGAAGTTTCCAACAGCTTTTAAGCCATTTCACAATTAAATTGCTGCTTGTCCCAGGTGATTCTGGTGGGATTGGGCCCTGCTGAGCGTGGCAAGGTGGTGACTGTGAATTGTCGACCCAGGGAGGAGGAGGAGTCACCCTCCCTGGACGTGTTTAAAAACAGACTGGACAAGGCACTCGGTGCTGTAGTTTAGCTGATGAGGAGGTGTCAGGTCATAGGTTGGACTTGATGATCTTCAAGTTCTTTCCCAGCCTGGTTCACTGTGTGAATTGTGTGGTTGCCAGGATCCAGCCGGTGCGCTCGGAGCCCGTCAGCATGCCGGGGTCACCGCGGCCCGCGGCCGACCGGCGCGGCGTCTCCACGGTCATCGATGCTACTTCAGGTAAGAACATCCTCACTTTCTGTTTCATATTCATCAATCTGGTCCTTTGTTTTGGCTGGTAACACGTGTACTAATCGTTGCCATCAAGGTTGTCCTGATTTTCTGCACCACAGGGTAAGTGCTGTTTCATACAAATACTCAGTCCTGCCATGATGATGATTTTTTTCCCCCCCTGCCCCCTCTTACCCCTCGAATGTGAAGTCACAGCATTGTGGTAAGATCTGGACACACTATTTATGTAAAGTTTAACATGAGCTATAGAATGCTAAAAACTGCCTAAACTAAAAAGCAGAACATTTACAAATACTAACACTGAAATGCTTTTATTAATGAATGCCTAAAGCATAGAATATTACAGTTCCATGTCATTTATAAAGTAGCTTTCATTGAAATGTAATCATAAATGTAATAGATTTCTGTGAACAGTCAGGACAACAGGAGAGTTTATCTAATGTTTGTGTAATAGGCACATTTTCACTGCTCTGCTCTGAAAAGAGTGTGTAGATTTAATACCACAGTGGTTGTGTTAATATCAACAGAGTAATAGATGTACTATAAAGTTCTCTTTTCCTCTCAGTGCTGGGGAATAGCCTGTCTAAAGAAACAAGGGCAGAAGCAGAGCTTTATGTTCCAGTGCAGCTGTACAGCGTCTGAGGGGTCCACACAGCAGGATTTTGTCAAATAAAATCTCTCACAAGTAGAATTATTAAACACACAGCATTAGTCAAACAGTCAAGTCGGAGAGGATTTTAATCTTTAGCGATTTGAAAATCCCTGGAGGCTCCTGATTGGATTGAGGTTAAACTGTAAAAAGAGACTGTAACACATACAGAAAGGGGTTTCTGAAGGTTGGTTTAAAGAGAGTTAAAATAAAAGCTCCTGTTTCAGACTCTGTTTGCTGTTTGATATAAATGCTGAGTCCAAGATACTTCATTGTTTGCCAAATGAATTTATTTGGGTATTACAGGATATTTCATATATGTGTTTATAACAGAGTTCAATAGTAACCACATTTACTTTGGATATTGAGAATTGTCCTTATAAATTCCATTTTCAAATATTTAAAAGTTGTTAAATTAATTCCTGTTGGGCTTAGACAAACATCTGGTGCTGGTTACTGAAAGGGAATTTTGTTTGTTTTACTACATGGCAAAGTAATTTTGAAAATAATTGTTCGATACAGAAGAAAATATTAATGCATCAGTTATGATTTTTTTTCCCATCTATGCTTATTGCTCCTAAAAGGTTCCAAGTTGGAATCACAGGAGTGCTTCAGGCTGTGTATGTGACACTGGAGATTCAGAGTGATTAATGGCAGAGCTGTGCCTCACTATCAGCTGATCCAGAGAGAGATATCAGCATTAGCAGGGTGGGGATTTTTCCCTCCTGTGCAGGACCAGTGCCTTCACCTGTAATTCTGAAATGTGACCATTCTATAACTGCAGCACTTCCTAAAGCTGTGTTACTCCATCTACAGCAGAAACAATGAGCACACAGGACTGTGCCTCTTGAGTTGCTCAGCCTCAAAAGTTGCTGAACAGCTTTTCCTGAGGTGTGGATGGGACTTTAATATGAACTGACTCATGTGACTGTGATGAAGCCTCATTTGTAATGCCTTTAACATGTGTGTCCATGTTAAAATTGCCAAAATCCATTGTATACATTGTTAAGACACTGCAAATATATTTACTGTACAGCAGTGACTCAGTTTGGTTATAACACCTCATAAGTTTCATGTAAACAATACATGGGTTTTGTTAGGGACATGCTGATGGCAGTATTTTATTTACTTCACCCAGAAAGGTTGGGTTGGAATTGATTTTTGATTCAGGGATTTTAGCATCTCTTTGCAGGTTTTGTATTGCCTGATCCTCATTCTTTCCCATGCAGAACTTAGGGGTTCAAATTCTAAACTGTGTGATGGTTTAAGGGTGTGAATTCTTCCAGAGTAAAGGAGACACAAGGAAAATATATACACTGTTTTTTGAGATTTTAAACTGCTCTTGTAACAGCAATGGCCCAGCAACGGAAAAAAGAGTATTTTATGCTGATTTTCTTCTCTTCCCATCTCTGAGATGTGCAGAAAAGTCCATTAATCTCAGCTGTGGATGGGGAAGGGTTTGGTTTTAATACCACTCATGTACAGCACTGGGTTTTTGTGTTCCAGTCCACCACTTCAAGTATTCTCATTTCCTGCTCTTCCCACGGCATGCCCTACACGGCTGATGTTCTTTATGGAAAAGACATTTTTAGGTTTGAAGGATTTTTAAGTAGGTCATAAATTTTTTCCTGCCTGAGCTGAACCAGGAAGTGATTGTTCAGCTGTGCCCCTGCACTGGAGCCTGTTGCACTTTATGAAGATGCTTATCTGGAGGTTTGATTGCCTGTTGCTTGGAGATGCAACCCGTGTGGCGCCTCTGCTTATCTGACTCATCACTTCTCCTTCCTATCAAAAGACTCCAAGTACATGTTTATCATCTCCCATTATCCTTCTGCCATCCTCAATAGCTTCCTCCCTTCTGCCCCGTTGGTGTTGCATTTAATAAGCAGTTTGTGTGCTTTTTTAAAGGGTGGATTTCCTCATGTGTCTGTAAAACTGGGGTGTGCTAAGGACAATCTCGTAAGATCACTTGTAAAAGTCTTCATTTAAAAAGTGCAGAACTGTAATGCTGTTATCAATAGTGAAAATTTGCAATGGCATTCTCAAGGTGGATGGCTGAATCTGTAAAGATTACTTGGATATATTTTAAAAATGCAAATTACAATATGGTTCTCTCAACTCAAAATTCTCCTAAGACACTCTTCTCTGGTTTATTTTTTCAAAAAAAGTTTTCAAAAGTTCAGTCACCTAAAACTACTGGACATGTGTCCCTCAATGCACATATTTTAGTCATATGCATCATAGAGAGAATGTACCCTCAAGGACTAAATGCACTGTAATTCCAGATGCTGTTCCAGACTGGCAGTTGGATATGTTAAAGGGGGACAGCAGTGGGTTTAAATCTTTGTAAAGCAGGAAGGAATTATTATTGGTGATAATGCAGCAGCAGAAGCACTGCACAGGTAGGAGCTGCTCACTGTGTGCAGCAAGCAGAGGGTGTTTGTCCCTCCTCCCCAAAGGTGTGCTCAGGCTGTGGCTTGGCTTTGACACAGATGGGTTAAATCTTAGTAAGCCAGGTTCTATTTATGAGCCCAGAAATGAAAGAGAAACCTTAGAGAGTCCAGGCACCTCTCTGAATTTTCATCCTATAACCTGTGGAGGAATGACATACATCATATGTATGACATACATCATATGTATTCCATAGCTGAAAACCCAAACGTGGTACAACTCTCTGAACAATGAATGATGTAGAAATTAGGGATGTAGGCAGGTTAGGATATCTGCACAGTCAACTCTGAGCTTTCAGAGCTAGAAAAGCTGTAGGGAAAGGATTTTGCAGCAGTTGTTGGTCAGTGAATTTGCTCAGAGTGCTGCACTGAGTGTACACACGAGTGCTTCCCTTCAGCTGCAGCCCAGGTGTGCTCAGTGACTCAGGTGTGCTCAGTGACTCAGTCCTGCTCATTGAAGAGAAGTGGCTGCATCTGTGAGTCTGCCTATGGAAACCTTGTTTATTCCCTCACACAAAGAGGTTTTGGACACTTATCCATCAGCCAAGTAATGAGTTGGTTGCATTGCTAGTGGAGGATGAGAACATTGACAGAGGAATTGTCTGATCTCTTTTTTTGCATCAACCCCTTCAATTCCTGCTGGGAGGCGATCACAGAATAGAATCATAAATCTGTTTCTTTCTTGCCTAGAATAAATGCAGAAATTGAGTGGGAAGGATTTCAGTGAATGGCATTATTTAATGAATAAAATTAATTTGTAGAAGAAAAAGATCCTGAGGATTCTTTTTCTCATTAATTGTTTGTGGGGTGGGGGGAACCTTAATGTTCTCAACTGAAGCCTGGTGAGTGCTGTGCTGCAGGGACACACACACATCATTTTTTAATGAAGATTGTTTATTACTGTTGTATAAAACTCTGACAATACTAAGCTCTCTTCTGGTTACTTCAATCAATGCCCACTTAAAATCAGCTTGTAATTTAGTACTTCCTTTTCTTTTGTGTGTGACTGGCTGGTCATGGACAGAGAGCTCTGCCTGCAGAGGGTTTGATGAACAGAAGAATTGACTGGGGCTTTGTGGGGGAGGGAGTTGTCCTTTTATTGTTCATCACCACACCTGTGAGGCAGCAACCACGGGACAGACTTTTACTGTCCAGCAATGCTCTCACCTGCAATTTAATAAACACTTCTGCTGTCACACCTTAAACCATCTGAGTTCCTTTCTGTTGTATGCACGATCAAATATTTATTCCCAAAAGCTGTACGCCACAAAGTGCTGCCTCGGAGCAGGCAGATCAGTTATTCAGGTAGTAAAGATGTGTGAATGCAGCTGGCAGATGAAGTCACCAACATTGTGAATTCCCAGGCTGTCCCTGCTGCCACAGGCAATAAATGCCAGGCTGAGCCAGGGCTGGGCTCCCATTCCAGGAGCTCTGGTGTCTGCTCGAGCTGCCCTGCTTGAGTGGAGCCAGCCGGGGCTGCAGGGAGGTGAAATCAATCCGGGCTGCAGTCCTTGACCTGAACCTGTAATTACCTGCATGGGATAAAGGTGGTTTGTTGTGGCAGATAGAGATTGCACTCAGGGCTGCAGAGGATAATGCTGAGCTTTGAAGGCAAGGAGGGGGTTTGGCCCCTGGGCTGTTCTTCACAGCAATTGAGAGGTTTTAATAATGGGCAGAGAACAAGCTGCTCTTTGGGGGCATCACCTGTTCAGTAACACAAAAACACCGACCCAGCACTGCTTGGTTTGTTGTTATTTGTCTTGTCAGCCTATGCTGAAGTTACTGGAATAACTTCTGTGCTGATCCTGTTAATATATCTGTTTAAAATGCTTATTATGTTACCTATTTGCATAACATTTTATGCATTATTCCCTGACTAGTGACAGCAT